CATATAATAATTAGTCTTATAACTAATTATAAGATTTGTTACATAAACAAGGGCCTAAGGAACGAGAAGGCAGAGATGTGGCTGCAATGTTCTGCAATGTCAAGTCCAGCCTGGAACATTGTGTAGCCAATTAATACAAATAAATAAAGAAATTTATCTCCTATCTTTGGTAGCAAGTCTATTTTCTATGGTCACACATTTGCATTCTAAGACTGTGTCTATGAGCAAAGATCACTGAAAGTCATACTTTTTTTTTCCTAGAATAAAATGCACTGGCTCTCTTGGGACCAGTGAGGTGCTGATATGCATCCAGGGGATATGTGCTGGTCCTTGACTTCCACTGTTGTGGGATCTACAACAAATCTGCAGATCTCAAAACTGCCACTTGGCATTTTCTTTATTTTGTGATGGCATCCTCAGCTTCTGCAGGAGAAATGCCTACACTGGCTTTTGCTGACTGCTCATGAAATTCAGTCTTAAGCTGTCATTCAATTGCATCTGACTTGCTGTCATCTGGAATTTACTCATCACTACTGAATGTGCCACATTAAAGGAAATTTATTTTCACTTTTTTTGCCCTCGGTGTCCAAACCATTTCCCAACAAAAGTCACTGGAAGAGCTTGAAGGGATATAAACAGGAATATTACCAGCCAGTAGACTATATCCTCTGCTAGAGTACCATCAACAGTCCTCAGAAACCCTAGAGTATATGATCTTACCATATGTTATGTTGTACAAAATGGCACTGGTCCCGGGCTCCAATATGCAACTCTCTAGTGTTGGGCAGTGGACATGGAGGCAGTTGACATTGTCATGAATAGGGTCATGGAAGAAGACAGCCAAGTTACAGGACACTGGAAAGGAAAGAGGCACAGAACATTTGAGGTGATCTCCAGTTCTACTAGTCTGATGAGTACTGAGCAACCTACATTTCCTCAGTATTGGAAAGTGTGTGTGTGTGGGGGGGTGTGGAGTGAAAAAGAAAGCAGTTATTGATTTTTTTCTGAGTAATATTTCACATGTTCTTTTCTTTTTTTTAAACATTTTTT